TGGTTGGTTGGTTGGTTGGTTGGTTGGTTGGTTGGTTGGTTGGTTGGTTGGTTGGTGGTTGTTGGTTGGTGGTTGGTGGTTGGTTGGGGGTTGTTGGTTGTTGGTTGTTGGTGGTTGGTTGGGGGAGGAGGAGGAGGAGGAGGAGGACGACCGGGCCCAATAGTCTTAGCTGCACCAACATCCATTGGGTTGGATTTTTTGGATTATGGCTTTTGACAGCAGTGCAGTGCAGAGATCCAGATATGATGATTGTGTGGTTCATGACTGCGGTGCAGTGCAGAGATTCAGATATTATAAGAGTTGTGGTTGAGTGCAGTGCAGAAAAGATGAACAATTGAGAAAAAAACATCCTACCGTGGTCCTCTGTTCTGTAAAGGAAACAATAAATAAAAGCAGAGAAACTGCTTTGATCACTTTTGATATTGAGAACTGTGTAAGACTGAAAGGTCCCAACAGCAGAGCCAAACTGTTCATGGTCCACCTTGGACACATGCCACATGCACTTGAACAGTCCACGGAACTTCCTGGTAGTTACAGTCATTGAACAATGCCCAGGCTGATAATCCTTGCCTCAGCTTTTGGCTGCTTCAAGCGTCAATATGACAGGAGCTCAAACCATTGCAAACCATTGCAATGAATAGCTGGGACCTAATGAATACATATGAATGCTGTTCAGCTATTTGCACATTCCGAAAATCATTCACTCGCATTTTGCTGAGCATCAGCTCGCTCTCGGTGCTTAAAGGGTCCATCTCCAATGTATCCACAGGTGCTTCGCCCTTCTCCTCACACCTCGGGCTAAACCCGCCAAAAGTATCAGCCGGCCATTATGAATGGGCGGAGGATTAGGTTCATGATTCTTCTCAATGAACATAGTATTATAGTATAGTCGTCAATTAATCTTATTGGCAGTTCAAAAGGCTCAAAGAAACCTTTTTCCTGCTTCCCCTGAGCTTTGTGACCATGGCTGGGACGAAATATTGGCCGAGGGCACCATTGAAAGTACCTTTGCCGTATACCGACTTGCAAGTCTCCATTCGGAAGCCTCGGACGTTAGAATCAGCATCACCGCCAAGAACAACACACATGCACAGCTGAAAACTTGAGGCCCAGTTGATTCGATCTGGTAGCTTGACAGTTTCTTTTAGTCCATGTATTGGTGAGAATGCTCTGGCTGCATTGAGCATCCTGCCTGTTGTTCTTCATGTCGAGCCAGTGATTTCTTCTGTCTTTGGTGACCACCACTTTTGCATTCATGAATCTCCACCTGAAGCGAACAGTTTCCATGAGCAAAGCCAATCAAGAGCAGCATCTTCCATGGATGACTAGAGCTCACAGCTGAAGGCCCAAGTACAAAGTTTCCGCTCTGGGACTTCTTTGATCAATCCAACAAACGCTTCAAACAAATGCTGTTTGATGAGATCTCTCATTTCCTAGAGATTGGCAGGTTCTGTGCTTTGTATTAACATTCTACAATGCTGAGAGTGAGACATCTGTTTGAAGGCAAACCCCACATTAAGTCAACATAGAAACCGACAATTGGAAACATATTATCATCATTTTTTTCTATGAAGCTTTCATATGTTCAACGTTGTTCCAACTAAATTCAGTTGAGGAGATTAAGCCTCCTTCTCTGACAAGTTTGTTCTTGCCTGGACTTTCACTTTCCACATTCAAGTATATAGATCAGTTGTAACTTAAGCTACAAACAAGCCTTAAACACCGATCACTGTGCCAATATATTCGATTGCACTATCTATAGAATGAGTGAGCTGCTTCTTACCTGAAATAACAAAGGCACTAATGACTTCTTCTCCCACAAATCACTGCATCCAAACGAGGTGCAACGAGCTTTCTTCCGCTTCTGTGGATGCTGGAGCGACAGGGACAGGCTCATCCTTCATTCGCCAACGCACACCTCAGGTTGAAGTGTGTGGTACATGCGAAGGTTTGTGCAGTACTTGCTTGGCTATTTGAAAAAAGAGTATGCCTGTGAACAGGTGTTCCTCTGTCTGGCTTGCCTTTTCTTCAAGCAAACTCAGGAACCCTCAGAATCAACACCGGAACAACTTTACTTTTTTTTGCAAACAGGCTCTCACTCAGAGGGGAGCAGTGCTTGCTACCGTCACTTCTTTTTCCAATGGGCTGGGACGATGGGCAGCTGCAGCAAAGACAGTAATGTTGGAGCAGTCGTTTAAAGCAACGAACAGAAGGAAATAACCGACTCGAAAAAACTAAAGGCAAGGAGGATCGAACATGGTCGTCAAAAGCGAGACTTTAATCGGATAGCACCTCTAATCCGCCAAACGGTCTCTCGGGTGGATCGCACGTTGTACTTGTCGATCAAGAACCTCCGTCACGGATAAGAATCGAAACAAGCTGATTGCAATAGAACAGAAACACCCCTTTTACAGACTTGTATGTACTTGAATGGCTTGCCAAAATGACATTGTGTTGTGTTGGTGTGCTTCTTCTACTACCACTTTTTATAGCATGAAATCATCTATTACTACTGCCCGCAGTAGTAAGCAAAGAAACCTTGTCCACGCTTAAATGACCAAACACTTTCTCGAACCAATAAACAAACACACACACACAAACACAAAAACAAACAAAAATACTATTCACATCTATTCACTACTAGATCTATGAGCTACATGCCTACAGCGAAACCATTGCAGCCACTGCAAGCATAAGAGCAACAATGCAGTCGTCACACATGCAGCACTTACAGCACATCCCTTGGCGCTTGCAGTGGCTCTTGTCACGCCCTTGTCGCAAAGGCAGTTTTGTATGTTTCGTCGGAGACTGGATGAAATACCGTGAGTCACATCGCACTGTAGCTTCGTCGGATGGTCGGATCGGGCAACGTCAGCAGCGTGCCACGCGATTGGCCCATGTACGGGCTCCAGGCGCTGTGTGGTGCAAACTCGCCCCAGAACCTTTGTTGGCTGTAGAAAACTTGAGGTTTTGCAGCGCGGGAGAGGTGGGTTCTGGGATCAGTCGTAAGGGCAAAGGAGACGTCAAGACGTGGTGACAGGGATACTGCCGCAAACGTCGCCATCGGCTTAGGAGACGTCCGATGAAAGCTCATTGAAAGGTGCTTTGGACGCGAGGTCCTTTTCTTGGCAATTGGTGGGCAGAACGTGCAGAAAATACTGTAATTGGCAGTCCAAGTCTTTGCATTTTGACAACTGCGCACAGTTGTCTTCTCCCAATGTATCTTATGTTAAATGGATCATAAATTATAGGTACATAATGAGTGCAGTCTCTCTTTCCAAGACCACAGACTCCCCTGTTCTCGCCTAATGATCTCATCGCGGGACTGGATCGGTTCCAGGCCATGCTTGATGCAGTATTGGGTGTAGGTGGCACGAAAGTGGCGCATGTAGACAAAAGGTCGGCGTTCCTTTCAGGTGTCAGACTTCAATCGCAACGTCTTGTGACTCGCAGCTCGAGTCCACGTGTATTTCGCTTGATCCGCTAGTTTTCAAGCTGAACAACAGAAACTCATGCTTTTTGCAGGCTCGAGTCCTCTTGGCTTGGAGTGACCACGATCCTTGTGTCTGATTTCGGAGACTTCTCCACTGGCATATCCTGGGCAAAGTTCAAAGAGCGTCCTAAAATGGAGATCCTTTTATGGATTTTGTATGTTTTTCATCTTAAACTGTTCGAGTGACCTTGACCGGCTCCACAGGCACCACTTGCGACTTTGCACCTCGGATGTGCAAGTGTTGCTCAGGGCGCTAGTCAAATTTGTCGTCTTGGTGCTGACAGGTTGCTTTTTTGATAATGTGGATGTGACACGACGAGATATTCATGGCCAAAGCGTGCCAGGCTGTTCAGAATCTTGCTCAAGATCGGCTCCAACACCTACAAAGCTGAACAAACACACAAACATGTTCCCGGGAACAGTATGGATCGAGACAACAGTTATCATCAGACTTATCAAAAAGGCTGCCGAGGCACCAGCAAGTCAATCAATAGCAATGGTTGGAGAAATGGGTTGCCTTCTGCGGCATGGATTTGCCTCCAAAGTCAACGCACATCTTTCTCCATTGTTCTCAAACAAACCACTTCTGATACAACCCACAGTTGCCATGTATATTTCTGTCTGGTGGATGAATGTGTCCCAAATGACGCTTGAGAAGCAAACGCCAGCCCAGTCTTTCCTTTCCAAACTAGTATTCCGTCGAACTATCAGCTAGAAGGTCTGCTGTGCAGTCTCTTCTCTCACACATTTGCAAAGCTGCTCATCCAGCTTGTTCTCTTCTTTGTCCTCGCAGGGCAAATTGAAATGGGACAAATACCCACAGCGTCTTTGAAGCTCCCAAGATGAATCTGCTGTGGCATCGACTGCAAAGAAGTCTGATCCACTCGACTCTCCTTGATCTCCCCAAGTTTCTGCTTCAGGAGGGTCTGCTGAGCTCTTTTCTCCATGTTCCGGGCCTCAGAATTGATGAGCCCTGTGAAATCTCTACTCATTTGGACGCTAACTGCATCATGCTCTACTCTGTGCATTTGTGGACTAAGAGTTCCACTCGAATGCCCTTGCGTGCCAGCTTGAAGAAAACAAAGGTGAACAAACAGCTGGCAAGCCCACCGCATGCCAAGCTCAAGCCCGTCGCGGCATCCTTGCGGATTCCACCACATCACAAGGATGCACGTCAGAAACTCCGCATGCCTGCAGCTGATCCAATGCGTGAACTTCACGTGGTCTCATCAATGTATCACCATTCCTTGGAACTTGTCAAAAGACTTGGAATGGTTCTACAGTTCTATGTGTTCAAATATATTCGAATAACATCAAATGCAATCAAGTGCTAGAAGTGACACTCCGAACTTTAGTTTTGCCGAATCCGAAGACTGCAAGCTTAGAACATGCTGCTGAAGAAACTCGAGTCTTCTATGTAAGCGTATGGTTTTTGGAACATGTGATGGCCTGTAAAAATTCCTGTACGGTACCTTCACTGTGTGGAGGTACCATATATCTGATTCCGCAGGTCGATCACTCACTGAGAAGAGGTATTGGATGTAATGGACGTGTGGTTCAAAGTGTTTAGTTTGGGATCAGTATTTTCCCAAGCAGGGGTCTTCACGATCTTCTAAGGCTGGACTAACACATTGCCTCTTGCTTAAAGAAGGACTCGCAAACGTATCTTGAGGTTCAGTAGATTTTTTCTAAGACGACGAGGCTTTCTGTCACTATAAGTGTCCCCAAACATCAATCCAAAAAAGGCAGACAGCAGCATCAAGAAAGCAGCTTGCACCTCTTTTCCAGAGAGGTGGTAGTGTCTGCCTTTACAGGTTTGAACTGTCCTTTTCACACATACCAGGTCTTCACCTGGTTTGCACTGGGTGGCATTCGAAAATCAGCCGGTGAGAACCTGTAAAGCAAACTGACACCGGGCGTCCAGTCTAGGACCCATGGGTGTCATAGTCAAGAATGGTTTGCCCCCTTCTAATCAGCGCGTGAAGCAGCTGGAAGGGAGCTTAAAAGGGAAAATGGCGGTCCTCAGTAATGGTAGATCTCCTTGAGGACCCAGTTCATCAGGGTGAACTCTGAGAGAATGTTTTTCGCATCTAGGTGAAACTCAAGATGAAACCCCGTGGGGTTTGGATGAGTAAGTTCATCGGCCCACTGGTTGAGGTCCCGCTTCACGTGGTGTGGGGCAAGTTGCACGCCCCCTTTGTGGAGCGTTAAGACAAGCTGCATCAAAATGGCCGCAGTGGGCATCTGCCTCGTCTTGTTGTTCAGCATGCAGAAGACGTTGCCTTGGTTGTCCGTGATCACTGGAATCTTGACTGCCAGCTGGTTGCGTTCCCCCATCTTCAGGATGAAGGCGATAAGGATGAGGGATCCCAGTAACTCGAGCGCTGGGATCATGGCCCTGGCAGTTTTGGTTTTGAAAAGCCATGGAAAGGAAGCCTCGTCCAAACGGAGGTGGAACCAGAAAACTGATCGTTTTGCTGGAGTAGGATCAGAGGAGAGCCAGCCTCCGATGTAGTATTCCTTTTGGGTGGAGGCACTCGCATCACTCGCCCCGTGCCAGGGCGACCAGGGTGCGAAGGGAGTGGATTGAGTATAGGGCTCATGGAAGAGAAGTCGCAGCATCTTGGCAAACGTGCGGATCAGGTGGTTTGGTTTGCCAGAGGACTTCACCGCTCCTTTCCATTGCCAGAGCGGTTGGAGCAGTGGCTTGGTCAGGGGGCAGGCACTTGTTGCCCATTGCAGTCGACCCATGCCCTTCTCAAGGTCCTTGAGGGTGAAGACCTCGCCCGCTGCCAGTCGGTCCAGTAGCTGCATTACCATGCAGGGCATGTTTGTCTTTTGCCATCTGGACAATGGGTCCTGATGGATCGATGACGAATCCAAGCCACGTGTTCGTGTGTGCGAGGGCCGTCTTCTTCCAGCTCAAGGGGGTGCCCAATGAGAGCAGCACCACCAGTAGAGCGGTGGCGTGTAGGTCGGCTAAGTGGCCCCGAAGTAGCCAGGCAAAGTCGTCAACAAAGACGAAGCCCCAGTCAGTTTCAGGAAACACTGCATAGATGATTCTAAGGAGGAGGGCTGCCATTCGTCCCCAGTAGAGTTGGGCGCTTGCCATGCCGTAGGTGCCCACCTTGTTGACCCACCATTCATCACCAATTTGGGCCACCTGGAATCGCCAGTCCCGAGAGTGGATCTTGACGCGTCTGTGTGCTTTGGTGACATCTGCCTTGAGGATGTGCCATTCCGTGGCCGGTTCTGGCCATGTCCATTGACCCTGCCCTTCCTTTGGGGTATCAGGGCCCGAGGCACCTGCCCGTCTGGAAGGACAAGTCCCACAGGAGGCACGTAGCCAACGCAGGCAGTGGACGCACTCCATCACACTGGGGCTGTGGTACACTCCTCCGTGCGCCGTTGGATGTGGGCATTGGCCCCTCCCCAGGAGCCATCATAGATGGTTCTCACTTTGTCTCCCTCATCGACCCACAGGGGGCGGCAGAAAGTCCTGAGTGGGATCTTCACCTTTGAGTTCAGTCTTGGTAGGCCAGATCCCCGGGCTAGCAAGCGTGGGTTCAGAGACACCCAGTGGGACTCCCCCCTGAGGGTGAGGGGATAGTCCTGGTCTGCGTCGTTCATCTGTTTGGCCAGGTCATGGATGGCCTCCAGGTAGAACGGTTGTCCCGGGTCAATGGTGTCTTTGCGCGGGCCCACCAGAATGTGGCGTACTTCACATAGCAGAGCTTCCGGAAAAGGGTGCTGCTTGTCGCGTTGGCTGATGGAGTGACGAAAGTCCTTAGTGAAGGTTTGGGCCTTAGTCAGGATCAGTTGGCCCTTCTCGGCCAATGGCGAGTGGGGCCTCAGTGGTGGCGGAGTGCCCTGGGAAGGTTTTCCCCCCCCATCCCGAAGGGGCCGTACTCTGAGTCCCAGGGGGACCAGCAGTTCGTCATCCAAAAGATGGAGTCTGGCCGTGGTGGGCAGACGAGAAGGTCTATCCACTCCTGGCTGTTTTGTCTCGTTTGATGTGGTCGAGAAAGCCTCCCGCGACGTACCGCAGGCGGAGGTGGGGTTCTGAGGTTGTCCCCTCCTTTGTGTGGGGGTCCCTCCATCTGTCTGTGGAGGGCCCTTCTGGTCCTCATGTGCCTCCGGCGGAGGTGAGGTTCGCCGCTCCCGGGCAGGCGGAGCCTTGGTCCACTGGACCGGGCGTGTTGGATGGAGGGCTTCCTCCAGTCGCCCCCCCCGGAGGGGTCTTCTCCCGCTGCGGATTGCAGGCGGAGTCGGATTTACGATCCGTGGGGCCTCTCTCAGAGGGCTGTGTCTGATTGGATTGGGATGGAAACTCTAACTTCCGGGACGTACCGCAGCCGGAGTGCTGAGCCAGGGGGGGTGTGTGTACCCGCCCCTGGTCCTGGAGTTGGTCCATTGGTGCTGCTGGGGGCACCGGATCGGTCTTGCCCCCCAGCCGTGGCCGTTTGGCGGCACCTGGTCCGGGATCAGCGCATGAAGCAGCTGCGGAACAGGGCGCCGTTGGTAGCCCTGCATCATGTGCCAGGGATACCTGCTTAGGTCAGATGACATGAGGGTGTTCCTCTGCCGGTGCTCCTCGTTTGTGGTCGCAGTACACGCCGTGCCGAAGGAGGAGGTTGGTGGACAATGGTGGACAATGTCGTCGTCTTTTTGACCACCTGGCCAAGCCGACATTGGTCAAAGGTAATCAGTGTGTTGCCGAGCAGGCGATACCATGTGCGTACCGCTCGTGTGGCCCAGATGGAGCTGCACCTCCATGCGCTCGGTGCTGTGCTGTTGTCCTTTGGATCAGCTGGGTGCTCCAGGAAGTTCCATGGAGCTGGCAGTTTCCGCCGTGCCCTGCCCAGGTGGGCGAGGTGTGTGAGGACCATCTGGCGCAGTAGGAGAATGCTGTCATCATCCACCAGTTGCTGGTCTGTGGTGTTTAGGCAGTAAACCCCAGCAGTAGGGTTCCCGGCGGCCGCGTACCGGTGGCGGTGCTCCCGGCTTGGGGATCCATCGGAGGATGCTCCATGTGCGGCAGTTGGGGCCACCGCCCACTCCTTCGAGTTGGCCCTCTAGGGCTCGGTGGCGCAGGTCACTGTAGGGTTGGTCCCGGAGAAGGTCATGCTTGACCTCCTTTCCATCCCGCCTGATGTCCAGGGCAATGAGCTCTGTTGAAAGGTCGGGGAAAAGCTTCCGGATGCAGGAGTCTAACGACGTAGCATCGTCCTTCCCGGCGTAGAGGAGGAGATGAGCTGAGGTCTGAGGGGGCAAATGCGAGTGCCCCTGACTCCAACACAGTCCCTCATGTAGGCGTTGCGGCGCAAATTGCATCCACTGTTGCAGTTCAGCACAAGCGTCCGATACGCTCCCAGTCCACTGGGTCAATGCCCGCTGTGCCGGGGGCACGTCATTAAGTGGATTGGAGCCCCCCTCAAAGGGTGCTGGTGTGTTGCTGGGTGTGGGAGCAGTCCCCTGGGTAGGGCCCGAGGCACCTGAAAAAAGTGCCCTCTGCTTGTCTGGTTCCCACTGTGGCGTGGTAGCCTGGATCCATATCAGAGCATGGAGCATCTGTGGATCCCAGGTCTAGTCACTTGTGTGGGCAATTGCCGGGGCTATGCTGCCCTGGGGGTGCATTGCAGACCCATCCGTCCTTCACGACGGGGCAGTTGTGCGAGCGCCCACAGTTGCCTTGGCACGTTTTCCGGATGTGGAAGTGTCGGCAGAAAGGCGTGCCATTGGGCGCCGCAGTGGCCCAAGAGGAAGGCCATGATGACTTCGCCTTGCCCTTGTCTTTCGTCTTGGACTTTCCCTTGCCTTTGGGAGGCGAGGGCCCGGATTTGACCTGGCCCTTGGACCATTGGGGCTGCCGCGGCGACCAGGCGATGCTCCTCTGTGATTTGGACTTCCCCTTGGTGGGTGATTCGGGGCTGCTGAGGGTTTGGCACCGTTCGTGTCCAGAACAAGCTGTCTTGGCGGAGATCTTGCATGGCATCTTTCAGCGTCGCCCCTTCGTAGACCTTGTTGTGGATCTCACGCCACGCATTCCGTTCCGCATACACCAGGGTGGATTCTGAGGGAGGGGGCTTCCGCTCAGCAATGTCCTTGCCCCAGAACCACTCGTACCAGTCATCCAAGTCTTGCTTGGTCACGTTGAACTGGGGGGTGCTGAGGGAAGCTGATCAGGCACATGTACAGGTTGTTCCGAAAGACCATGTGCATCTTCTTGATCTGTTCCTTAGTGCTCGGGAAGGCTCTTTCTTCTTCTTCAACCTCCCGTTCCCCCGTCAAAAGTGGCTTTTCGTTTGATCTTAATGGGTTTTTCATCAGTGTCTGGAAGTGCTGAGATGATTTGCTTTGTAAGGAAGAATCCAATCTCCCCATGGGCGCACAGCTTGAATTGCTTCTTCAGGAAGTTGTCACTGCCCTGGTAGGTGAGCTTGGGTCGTGGCTGGTTGGCGATGCGGTCCCAATCCACGAGGATTTGTTTGCGGTCACAGACCGCGTCCAGGCCCGTGGTCTTGCCCATGGGTAGTAGAGGTTGGTCCGCAGGCCCGTGATCGTCTCTCCAATCGTTTCCTTAGCCAGGCGCACACACTGAAACATGCGCATGGAAATGAGTTCCCGGAGTTCGTTTGTCCACCCATGGTCATTGGCCAGGACAGGGGTGTCCCAGCAGTCGGCCAGGTCCTCCATGGTGGTGTAGCTCGCCTGGGCCATCTGGGCCATGACCCAGTACGGGATCCCCTTCTGTGTGAGGAGGGCCTTGACCCCCGCACTCAGTGCATCCACTCGTTCCTGAAGAGGTTCAGGTACGGGATGGGGAGGGCGTATCGGCATCGGCGGCCCGGCCGGAGCGGCCATCACCAGGTTCACAGGGAGTGGAGGGTGGGTTCGCAAAAGTTCGATCTTTGATGGATCAGGGGCTGATCCTTGAGCCAAAATGGCAGGCCATCTTGGCTAATGAAATGTATTGTGGACACATTGTTTGCAATCCGCAAACTCCATGCAAAACCAAAGTGTCCCCAAACATCAATCCAAAAAAGGCAGACAGCAGCATCAAGAAAGCAGCTTGCGCCTCTTTTCCAGAGAGGTGGTAGTGTTTGCCTTTACAGGTTTGAACTGTCCTTTTCACCCATATACCAGGTCTTCACCTGGTTTGCACTGGGTGGCATTCGAAAATCAGCCAATCCCGCAGGACGGATGCCACCCAGTGGTCGCCAATCCCGCAGGTAAGTGGCAACCGTGCGGGGTCGATTCCTCAGGAGACAGGACCAGAGGCGTACGACGCCTGTCCCGCAGCCTGGGGGTCAAGGTCAATGTCAAAACCAGTGGACTTCACTCTCCACTGCATGCTCGTGGGATCGGTGGATCATCTCAGAGGTGACCTTCTCCGCTTCCGATGCCGTGTCGACCGAATCGTCCGTAAGGGAGTCCTCGGAGTCTGGCGAGGAGGCTGACGAGGCCTCAGTAGGCAGAGGCGCGTTTGTGGCCGATGGTGTCTGCCAGTCTGCGGGGAAGGTGTGGTGCTTGAAGCACCGTTCGCAGCAAAGGTGGGCATCAATGTTCGCGATGTATTCATCCGATGTGAGCTCATTCACTCGGGCCAGGTTGGGAGACCAGCCGCACCCAATGGTTTTGCTCTGGTTGTCCAGGAGGTGAACCTTGAAGAGGTAGGTGCCCTTCTTCCTGAGTGTGGTGGCAATCACCCGCAGGGGGCCGGAGGCATCAGCGACAGAGTCAGCTGTCGAGGGATGTGCAGTTGGAAGGCGCAATCAGGGATGAAGATCCGGAAGGAGTGCCAAGAGAGGTTCTCGGTATAGGCCTCGTCGGCCCAGCGCTGCCTTGAGCCATCGAAGCGCCCTGTCCGGTGAGGAGGGTCGAGGAATCAGGCCCAGACCATCCTTGCTCAGTGTGGGGATCAGGTAGTCCGAGTCCACAAAGGCCTCAAGTGCGTGCATCTTGCGCCAAGTGATGGTGAGTGGGGTCCACCAGTCGTGGCCCGTGAAGGAGTACTTGGGCGCAATGAGAGGGACCGGACTTCTTCATCTTGAAAGCGGACACTGTCTTGGTCTGCCATGCACTGAGTTCAATGGCGGAGGAACTGATCTGCAGGCTACTGGTCGAGGTATGTTGGAGGTCATTGAACCTTGCGCTGCATGCAACCTGGAAGCGGACCACTCCCAGGATGAACTGATCCAGCAGGGGGATTCCCCCCTTATCAGGGCTCGGAGCGCGCCCAAATCACTTCCTTTGAGGGGACCATGGCCTTCCGCAGAAGAGACCCACCACCGGCAAGTGCTTGGCCTCACAAATCTCCTGCGCCAAGTGCTTGGCCTTGGCAATGGCATAGACCTCAACAATGCGAGCAAAGGCCGGCGGGGTGAGCTTGTTCACGTCAAACTTGAGGCAAAGCTCAACGATCTCACCCACCTGGATGCTCCGCAGCGGCTGCGCCAGTTTCTTCGGGAGGCAGGGAAGGCCAGCCATGACATTGGTCAAAAGGATGTTCCCGTCCTGGGCAAAGGAGTAGGTCACAGGATCCTGCAAGCGCTGCTCCATCGGAACCTCAGTGTCAAGGCTCGTCCGCAAAGTCGAGGAAGGCACCGGCGACAGCTGCTTGCCCAGCAGCGACAAAGCCCCTGAGGCCGGCACAGAGGAGGATGACACATCCGGGGGAGGCTCGGTATCAGGGCGTGAAGCACCTGCCGAGGCTCTCGAATGGTCACCCCCAACCAAGGCACCAGTTTCAGAGGGACTCGCTGACGGAATCCCAGTATCAGGGCCAGAGGCACCTGCCGGGACTCCCGCGTCGTCTCCCTGATCCAAGGGGCGTTTGCGGCTGCTTGACACCGCCGATGTGTCCTCAGCCACCACGGAAGATGCCGTAGGGGGAGGAGCCGAAGTAGGGCTCGCAAGTCCAGCAGGGGCCTCCGGAGGGGCCTGCAAGGAGAGAGAGGTGATGCCGCTCACCATCGCCTCCAAGTCCCGCTCCAAATCTGCGGGGGTCTTGTCCGCGGGGATCACGTAATCGGCCAAAATGGCCATCTCATCCTGATCAGCTGCAATCTGGGCAGTCTCAGCGGCTGCCACCTCCTGCTCCATGGGATCCGGTCCCAGGATCACAAAATCCTCCGCTGAGTCCAAAAGTTCGAAGTCGAAGAATTCAGCCATGGCGGCGAAAGTCAGAAAAGAGCGAAAAAGCGAAAGTCGCAAAAGTTCGATCTTTGATGGATCAGGGGCTGATCCTTGAGCCAAAATGGCAGGCCATTTTGGCTAATGAAATGTATTGTGGACACATTGTTTGCAATCCGCAAACTCCATGCAAAACCAAAATGTTTGACAAACCTTGGGAGCTACTCAAGAGCCAATTTCAAATTCTTAGAAGTCAATGCAGGATAAATGAATCGCTGCTTTGTCTTTGCTTGGTGCCTCCTAGCCGCGCTCCTTCGTAAAACTCCCAGTACTTCGACGCATCTGGCTTGACCCTGTGGTCTGGATCCAATAGGACGAGTTCACCTGGCTGAATAGATGGGAATGATGGGATGCAACCTGCTGATCGCCCACGAGTTGATTCATTTAGCTCACCTGCCCACCTCGGAGCTTTTGCCTGCTGGCCAATCCGTCCGATCGCAAGGAACGTTGCATCTGGTCATACATCGAAGCAAAACGCACTTGCAGAGCCGGTTTCAAATAATCCTGGAGGGCTTGTGCGAGTAAAAAGACTTTTGATCTTCACTCTGCTTGTGCTTGTGATCCTTCATGAGCCCAACAAAGCTGTGAACGCATCAAACAAACCGCTTTCATTCTTGGGCATGATTGCCTTCCCCCCATCAGCAAGCATGTGTTTCCAGAAGTCAACAATTGTCCTTGCTTTCTCGCATGGGCATGCAAACCTACTCAAGGACTCTTGGCCCGAAAACAAACCTTCAACAGCAAAATACAACGTGCCACTGCAGTATGTCAACGTAGTATAATGGACCCCAGAACGATATATATATATATATAAACATATTATACATATATATATATATAAATACATCTTGAATGCTGTTAGAATCTATTGTTGGGGCAGTTACTGTATATTGATCTTCTTGTCGGTCCCAGTGGGAAGTGTAGTAGGTATGATACGAGATGAGCCCAGAGGACGCGAGGGGACATGAGCACATAAAACATAGCGTGAGCAAATGACACATGTTGGACGACAAAAACCTTGAAAGTAGAAAGGTATATGATATGAGATGAATTTTGAACATGTGTTGCTGGTTTGCATATTGACGGATATGAACGTCTAGGAGGTCATACTCTTGTTGAATTAAACACTTTGAGCTTTTGACTTACCTTTCGATGTTTGTGGAAAAGAGTGCGAGGTTGGGCCAAAATCGATGTCCAAACGAAGCTGCCTCATGCCAACAACAGTCAACAGCACTGTTCTGTTTCCACTCATCTAGAACTTCTGTTTCACAACTGAAGTCCTCTGATGAAGGATGCTCTGCAATTGAATTGACCTAGGCATCGGTGGCCGTTCCACTCGTACACACTTGTACAGTCCTGTTCAGTCGAAACTCGATTCCACTTTAGCCCAAGAAGCAATGCTGGCCGAGCATGACATATCAAGATAAGAAACTCGAAAGGTCAAAATCTCAGGCTTCAAAATCCCTGCAGAGAGGAATGTAAGGATCCTCGGAGTGTATCTCAATATAGTTTGTGCAGAAAAACTCGGCCGTTTGGCCATAACTCATAACGATCTACCGCAATGAACACAAATGACACTGTCAAACGAACTTACAGGCCTGGCTGAGATTGACAGAATTTGTAGTAACCACGTAAATTACATGGACCTCTATTTGCTTGTGTGGCTGCTCCATGTCACTATCACCGTCATGACTCTTGAAAATATAAATGCCGAGGCGCGCTGGGTCCATGGAGAGAAAAACAGGTCGAGTTGCATATACCCAGCGCGTGGCTGGGATACCCGGGACAGCAACAGTATCGATGACCACCACGCCATGATCGGTCGACTGGGTAGAAATGGGAACTGATGCTTCATTTCAAAACATCCTTCTTTCTTTGCCTCAGCCTTCAAAAAACCATGTTACACCGATGCTACCTCTTAAGGCACTTACTGTTGGCAAAAACCAAAATGGCATTCCTCCAGTTTTCACCCCTGCACCTCTGGATCACCGAAGCGTGGACCAACAGTTCGCATCATCCGCCTGGAGGCGTGCAGCCAACACAGAAAACACCATGGTGAGCAGAAAGGACATTTGGGCAACCGCTGAATTCTTCCTGGGTTCGCCTTAGAAGGATCAGGCGGGTGATCCCGCGGTAAATGGCCACTTAGTGGTCAATTTGTGCAAAAACATGTGATACGAAACGTGACTACGCCGCTCTCTATTTCCAGTCCTGGCATCTGGCAAATGCATGCGAATGCCCGGCAGTCGATCAGCTGGCGCCCAAGTGCCGCTGGATGACGAAGCACCAGCAACGCTGAAATGCACCTTGCAAAAAAATATTGCAGCATGTGGTGAAAAAAGGTAAGGCAAAATAATCAGCAGCTTCCGCTGACTTATGCTTTTATATTTGACTTATAGAGATTTTGTTGCGCAAGGTAGTTCTCCAACAAAGCTGGTGGGTGGAAATTTGGCGCCAGCAAAAATATGGGAATAAGGTTGGTGGGATGACGAAACTGTCGAATTTTGGGTGACTAAGAGTTGTGTGATGGCATATGATGTGGTGGCTTGTGATGTGGTGAAGTGTGCGTAGTTTGTGATGTGGTGAAGCAAACAAGGTGCTCAGTGAAGTATAGTGTGGTGATTTGTGATGCACTGAGATGATCATTTTTCGACTTTCCGCACGCTAGATGTTGCCATCTACAGCGTTGCCTCGCCTCTTGTGTTGTGGCAAGAGAATTGACCAACCCGTCATTAGATTGAGCAACCGTCCCACGGCTGTATGAGGAAGTTCCTCAGCCTGCGTCTGTTTCAACTGCACAGCGCAGCATCAAAATGAAGGCATCTTGGTAGATGGCTGCTGGCAATCACAATTGGCTTGCGGTCGTCATCAGTGGACACCCGTTGGTTCGAATTCGGCCAAGGAAGCCAGTCAGTGAAGTGTCCCGCCTTCTTGGCGCATCTCGCGCGGCGAATTCAACGGAATAAGGAGCAAATTCTTCTTCTGGGCACGTTGCAAATGCGCCGCCTCAAGGATCAGCAAGTAGGTGTTCTGTAAGTGATCGCCAGCTGTAGCTCTGAATCCCGGGCCCAGGTCTGTTGAGAATACCGCTGCAAAGATCTTTCTCAGCAGGACACACACTCGACAGCTGCAAAGAGGGCCCTGAAACGCAGCCCCCGTATGGCAAGGGGCTGTCATCCACCACAGCTGCGGTAAAATAGAGTTTGGGTGTGTCTCGTTTTTATCACCGAGACGTTACCGATATGCACTGTAGAGACTAGTTCTAGTGATGTGATGAAACAGTATTTATTTGTTGCTATTTTTTCTCTACAGTAGAAATTGTACTTCTAGCTATATACTTGTCTCCACAGTAAAACCTCTATGTTTGGCAATCTTGCGCTAGAAAAGCTCAACCCTGGGCGATCTTTCTCTTGAAATCTCTAGTTTTGGTTACTTGTCTCTAGACAACGCGCCTATGTTTCCGCACAATCGCTGCTTTTTGGCTACTCTTCTCTAACATTTCTCCAGGAAGTGCTTTTTGGTAACTTTTCTCTACAAGGATTTGCGAGCCCCCTGTGCCCCAAGTACCAAAAAGCAAAGGCACATATTCAATCTTGCTCTAATCATGCTAGCGCATGTCAGTTTAACATCAAGCTATAGAATAGCATACGTTGCCTGGATTCACCATGGTAGTCGTGCCTGTGGAGTTTAGTAAGCAACATTGCAGCTTAGGTGCCATCCCCGCTTCGCTTTGCACGGTGAACCTAAGCCACAAGAAACCAAGCAAAATCATCATCACTCCAACATAACTTAATCTAATCTGAACAAATTTGGAGAAAAAAGGCTTATGGACACATACATGTTGTCAGGGTTTTTCGACATGCAATGGATTGCACAATCTTTTGATCAAGCAGCTTTTGGAAGCTGCCCGTTTGACCCACGCGGTCGATGAAAAGCTTCTCCACCGGCTGGCTAAGGCCATCTGAGTTTTTAGCCACCAACATCAAGCGATCCACATAAGCGGGGACCTGGAACTGACTGGGCATCAACGATCGAGTAGACATGCCAGAATTTCATCTATGAAAGGGTACCCCCCCAACCAATTCCATTTCCTGGAGACACTGGTAGCTGAGCCCAATGTTGCACCAAAAAGCAACCTTTGTGGGCAAAAACACAAAGTCACAAATGCATAAATACTTTTGTTTTGCATGATGTACTGGAATGAGAGATGAAATCCCAACCCTTGTATGAACATATATCTTCGCGCTTAGCATTACACCAAGTCATGTATAGGATGACACACTCAAATGAGAAGTATGCCGCCAGCCCTTTTGTGTCAAGACTTCGCACAGTAGGGGATCTGTGATAGAGGAACCCCGTTGTGATCTTAAGGGAAGTCCCGTACCTGGACTTCTTAGCGGGCCCTCTTCCTTTGATGCTATAGATCCTTTGCATGGAAACTAGCTCGAGATAAAGTTGTTCTTTGTCGACAGGACGAAGGGGACAAGCCCAGATCCATTTCTGCTCAGGTGAACAATGGAGACCTATATACTGTAAGTAGATTTGGAAAACTTGAGAGAAGTCCTTGAGACTGTGGTCAAATCAACTTAAATCAATGAAGGGAGCTGCAGCTGCAAGTGTAGTGCAGAAGTATTGGAGAATAAAAGTCGAAGCTCTACAGATTAGTCGAAGCTGTTGGCCTATCATTCGTCTTCAAGCCCAAAAAGCAGGCCCTTAGAGAGAGTGGTGAAGGGTCCATGAAAGCCCAACGAAACCTTTGACATGGACCTTGCACCAGTAAAAACAAGATCTACAGTATCAAGCTGGATGGTTTACTTTCAAGCTTGTTGGGAGGAGAATCACTGCACCGGCACATTTTCCATGGACTAGCCTCTTCAGCCACATCGTCTGAGATTGGAGGAGGGTTTTTGAAGAGACCGAAGTCTGGCACGGCTATTCAAGAAGAGTTGACATCGGAATTCTTTTGAGAAGTGTTGGAGGCCGGTTGAAACCGTATCTCAATCGGTGGAGAGTACCAGGAGGGGAAAAAGGACAAGGGCAAGGAGCAAAAGAGCAAGGGCACTATGCTACACATATGGCAAACCGGGCCATGCACACTGTGGTTGTTAGCGCAACTACACTGCGAGGAATGTTGCCACTGAAGCTATGACATCATCTACAAAATCATCTGGCGGGACACCCTTACAGTTCCTCCACAGCAAGCATCAATGGTAGAGCAGGCCAGCGGCTCAGAATCCAAGATCACTGAGAGATGTCCATCAGCATAGATAATGTTGCTGCCCTTTTTCCCTCTAAGCGGACGAGATTTTCAGCGCCATGTGTGAGCCAACAACCCATTCTGTGCTATGGTGCCCCTGCCATTGTGGAGTGCGGTTGGAATGGACGTGAACAGCTTTTGGAGAATGAGGACTGCTTCAAATGCAAAACAAGACCCTGATAATGTATGGCAAAGTGAGAGTGATCAAAGAAAAGAAGGAAGAACCAGTCTTGGCTTGGAGGTGCAGGTCCCAGAAACCATCGAGAAACGTGCAGGTTCGAGGTTCAATGAGCTGGCACTCTTACTTCTCGTTGTTTATTCCTCGAGGGGCTTGCTTGAATCATTGAATAGTCATCCGTGTGGTGTCGCAACAAGGTCAATCTGCGCCGAACTTTCATGCCTTCCCGGGCGAACTTGTGGCAATCACAAGGGATGAGGAAAGCGACGCAGAATTCACTCAGCTTACTTCCGTTGGATCGCTTGCAAGTTCCAGTGTATAGGAAACTGATCTGGCTGTGTGAGTCCAGGAGGGGCATCTTCGCTAGAAGGGTCATTGATGGGGTGTCACTCGGACGATCTTTGGTAGACTGGCAGGGCCAGCAGTCTCTTACTGGAAGCTGAAACAGAAAGTCATTTTGTTGTTTTAGCTCGGAATGAAATGAATTACTCTTGAAAATCTATTGTGATCAAGGTGCTGCTAGTGTCGCAGCGGGTGTGTATGTGATGTTGATGTTGATATGGCATAGCAAGGATTTGATCATTGATGTGGGATGCTGTCTCAATCTATGGATTAATTATTTGTCATTTTTGGATTGATGCCATTTTCCACGTGGCCAAGCATGTGCATGTTGATAATATTGTCCGCGTCGAAGATCGAACGCATAATTGGTCTGATTTTGTTATTAAATTTGTGTTTTTTCCCCAGATAGCGAAGCTATGGGGTTCTTACTTCAAATAACAATGAGTTGCCCGTGCGCGTTTTCGAGACAGGTTGCTGGTGCTGGGTGCCGGTGTTGGTGCTGGTGCTGTGAGCTGGCTGTGCACGTGGTGGAGACAGGTTGCATGTTTTTGCTGTCTGGGGTCTATGCTGGTGTATTTTTTTCCAGTGAAATGACAGGACATTGTCAAAACAGTTGGTTGATGAGAACCAATGTGGGCTGCCTGAGTTCCATTGTCAAGACGGGTATGATCTTGATCAAACGTGAATTCCGGTAGACTGGGCATCCGTTCAGCTGAACCCACGAAATATCTATGAAGATCTGGAGGCTGTGAGAGCCAGTCTTCCGACCCAGCATGTTGGTAGGGTGTGTTGGGACATGTTGGGACTATGTGTTGCTGATTCACTTTGTAATGATGAGCAAACCTTTGAGGTACGGTTTCGGGAGCAAATTCGAAGGAGTTTTGACCGCCAAGACCGAGTGTTTCATGCAATGGATCTGCTTGTGGATGGTCATCTTACTCTTCTGGTCGTTCCAAGGTTGCTTGGACGACCAAAGCCCTATGCTTTTTGAATACCAGCTCGGAAACATAGCATTTCCCAATGTGTAAATTGATCGTGTTACTTCGGCCAGGTTGGTTTCCCAATTTCGAGAATTCAATCCTGGCTTTGGCTGGGAGCGCGATGGCGATCTCTGGGAGGTTTTCTGTTGCCACTGCAATGGATAACAAAGAACTTTTCATTATAGTTTTCACTGCGTGTACATGTCGTACTTTGCACTAGGTTTGTTTTCGCTTGCGGCCATCTAAGGGCCCTTGAGTCACGTTGGGTAGGGCCCGATCGATCGAACTTGGAGGAAAGGACAGGACCGACTTCGTTGGCGGTGAACCTCTACAACCAGATCCGATTGAATCAGGAAGAATCCGCTAGGATGCTAGGATGCTTAAGAGCTCAGCAGGAAAACAAGATGGAGCCCACGAACCCGAATGCAAGCACGGTCGAAAAGCTACAAATGTCCAAATGACACTCTTGTAGGACACTCTTACGGGACACTCTTGTAGGACACTCTTGTGGGACACTCTTGTAGGACATTCTTGTGGGAC